AACGGTTCGATTAATGTCTGCGAAGATCGCGTTTTTACTTTCAACGACGCGTCCACTTTTCCTTTGATTCCAATCAAATGATCCCAAATATTCTCTTCAATATCGGCAATCTGCTCGATTCTCGATCCACATTCCAGTGACTCACTCCGCCCTAAAGGTTTCGGCATATAGCGGCCAATCCAGTCCACTGTTGAATCCAAGTAAACACTCAGTTCATTTTCGAGCTGAAAGAAAACACCTTACTTCACAAAACACTTTGAAATCAGTAATTGGATTTAGCGTCGAACTTTTCAAATCCCATCCAAATCCATTTGAAATATACCTTAGCAATCCCACGTTTTTACTGCTTTTACACCAAAAGACATTATAAAACCAAATAAAATTCCACAATTTTCAAACGATTCAAACCGAAACGGTATGAAAATCCCATTTTTCATAAACGATTAACTGACAATTCAATCGAAAAAGAAACAAAATTAACCTGCGATGAGCTCATATTCAACGCAATCATTTGCTGTAGCTGATTGGGACGGAATTTTTCACGCCATTCATTTAGCAACCATTCAGCACTTAACTTCGCGCCCGAACGTTCGTCCAAACGAACTGCGTACTGAATTCAACAAAATATTCAATAAATACAGAAATTGTAACGGAATGAAAGGATGGCAAATTTTAAGAAAATATCAAAAATTTTCCAAACAGAAGAATTCAGAACCTGAAATAACGCGTGCACAATATTACCAATGAACATGGCCTTATTCGTCGAACCACCACCTCGGAATCTATCCGCAAGAATCGCTTTCCTTCGGCAATACAAACCCTGCATCAGTGTTGTGCACGGTACCAATGTATCACCATCCATAATCACCACTCCCCGATCAGTATCCACCACAAACTCCTCAAATCATAAATATCTCCACTCGGGCAAAATATTTGCCATTTTACATCGGAATCTTTAATAGACTGAAATTTCTTAACATTGTCTAAATGAATCAATCGCAAGTTATGACCATTGACACAAATCCCCCGAAAAATCACCAACTTTATCACTGATTCGTTTCGGATCAATCAGTCTCAGAGAAGAGCCAATCGACAGGGGACTACTTGCCCATAACCCCTTCAATATGACCGTCACTTCAGCATCCGTCTCAAAATCGTCATCAAACGAAGTATTCGTGTCTCTTTTACATACGATCCTTTTGTCCCAACCAACATTCTCAACTGACTTTATAATCAAATCGTAACAATCGCTGTGGCTTGATAACGATGGAAACCCTTCGATTCCAGAATCTGAAATCCATTCATTGCAACATCGAATTCTCTAGGTATCCTCTCGAAGAAGCAGATTAAATCGACCTATGTCTCTCACGATTTTGAACCTTCTTTTTTTTCCCGTTAGATAGATTTGAAACAACTCTATGCTTGTAAGAATTATTACAGTAGTAAGATTGAATCCTACTCGGAATATTTGAATTAGAAGATTACAATCTCATTTGGACATAATCTGGTTATATGTAGGACGATCTCGATTCCATTCAG